GAAAACAGAGATCAGAGAACAATTTTTCTTGCATTTGCCTAAGAAAGAGCAAAGTCTGATCACAGTTTGGGTCCTGAGGGTTGCACAGGTGGCTTGGTCAGAATAAGCACCTATCTTGTGACTGTTACCACAGGGTTCCTAAATTCTCTCATGATATTTTTGCCTGTTCCTGCCGTCTCTGATATGGGGTTTGTAGAAGACACTTCAGGCAGTGTCCCATGGATAAATCATCAGTGCAAAAAAAACCCCAAAACATCTAGGACCAAAGACAGATGTATTCTGGCAGATAAAAGGTCTGTATCCTGGATTAAAAAGGAGCCACATAGGAAGCTTTAAGATGTAGGCACAGTCTTCCCTTCCTACTCTAGGAATTCATTGCTGGAGTTCAATCCCAGTCCTATTGTTGTGCACCAGCGAGGGAGACACAGCACAGACACAGGCACACAGTGAAGTAATGTCTTCCCAGTGGTGCCAGGGGAAATAACAGCAGATAATTCAAAGGCTCTGAAAGAACAAGGGGCTGACGAGACACTCACTAAAAATGTGAAACTAAAAAAAAAGAAAAACCACCAAAACTGGCTCCATCATCTTTGTAGGATGGAAACATAATTCAAAACCTCTCCTTGCATCGCCACATTACCTCCTAACCCTCATCTCCTACCCCCTTGGTGCCCTTCCCTGTTGATTTACAGGGTAACTTGCCCAGAGGATTCCTCTCAACAAAGTTAAGGCACTGTATCCTTTCAAATCCTTGTTTCATTTGAATTCCTTGATGTGTCTGTGAATGGAACTGCCCTTCCAGATTCTTCAGAGGAAGGACAGGAGGAGTGGGATTAGACAATAGGGGCTGTAAGTTAAAAATTGTCTTGACAGTGAGTCATGAACCACTAAAATCACCAAGGAGTCATCAGAACTTCTCTTTCTGATCAAATTCTTGTGCTGAGTTCACTGCTGTCATCCCTTGGCTCACCCCAAATTACTCCATTTTAAACTCTATGAACAGAGGCACAAACCTGCAGATCACTCAGGGAACTCCCTCACCACTTCTAGAGAGCCACATTCAAGGGACAAATCTGGGATAGCTGGTCCAACAGTGGAAAGCAAGACAGACAAGAGGCTGGGAAAAGTCTACCATGCCAATCTACAGCTGGAGATGTCCCACATTTCCTCTTTCCATCATGGGATTTCTCTGGTGGCATGTCCCTGGCTGTGACCCTGTGAACCCCACGGGCAGTATCAGATCCCACTGGTCAGTAGATCACAGATCAAGCCAGACGAGCGTGTCTGGCCCTTGGGGTGACAGCTGGGAGAGGTGCAATCCCACCAGCAAGCAGAAGACAGCCAGGAGATTCTCCCCTCAGTGCAGGCACGTGGAGAGTGTGAATTTGGAGGCTGCTGAGCACCTGCCTGTATTTTGAGGTCATTGCCAAACTTGCTCACCCAAGCCTAAGTAGATCCACCACATGGATGACATGAAGAATTCACCTGCACATCAAAACCTACCGTGGTGAAAGCCACAGTGCAGATTTTTGGGGTCATCCAGACCTCCAGCATGACCCAGTCAGTACAACAGAGCTGGATGCTCAGGGTGGGATTGGTCTCATCAAATGCTGACACCTGCAGCGGGATTATTTAGAGCACGAGGAAGGTGACTTGCAGTGTAGATGCATTTGCAGGTGTCAACATTTAATTAGATAAATGCCATGCTAAATGTACCTAACCTAGGAAACTGCCATCAACATCTGAGTAACTCCTGTGTCATTCTTTCCCAGCCCCAGGGTTGGGAACGGGTCAGAAGAGTCTGGATTGGAAAACAAAAAGGGTGCATGTGGATCAGCAGTGAGATTTATCAGTTCTGACCTGGCAGAAGGCACCTTGAGGGCTGGTGACAGTTAGAGGAGGAGCCAGCAGGAAAGGGGGCAGTTCTACACCAGGATAGGGATAAAAACTCAGGCAAAGGAGATTGGAAACACTGATGTAAGGGATAGCCTGGCTCCACTGCCTGCAGAAGTTGGCCACGGAGTAATCACCCCTCTCTTTCCTTTCTTGTCTGCCTTTGGATTTCATTATTTCCCTTTGTCAGTTCACTTCCGTCTCCAGAGTGAAGGAGTCAGGTTCTGAGTCCTGCTGAGATTTCATTTCCTTCAAATTCTCATTTTCATTCTGGCTGCAGGTGATGGCTGAACACAGGGTCAGCACATGTCCCTTATTCCTTTACATATAAATTCCTAAAAAATTTGAAGCATTTAGGAGGAAGAAGCCATGAGAAAATATTGGGAAAAAAAAAATTACACAAACAGAAAATCTCAGGGCAATCATTGCCTTTGAAGCATTATAAACAGAGCAGAGAAGGAGAGAAAAGAGTGGTGTGAAGAATGAAACAGTAATGAGAAAACATCTGGGCATGAGAGGCAGAGTGGGAGGGAAAGGGGAAAACTCCAGAGCCTTGGAAAAGCAGAGCTGGATGTTTTCCATAACAGAATGCCAGCCTGGCTCTGCAGGACCTGTGGCTGCAGTTGAGTGATCTTACAAAGGTCCACTTGGTGGATTGTCTTAAAACCACAGGAATTTGACCATGCTCCTAAATCTCTAAGATCTCCTAAAAACTCACAATCCCATTTTATACCCTGCAACCCCCATGAGGAAAAAGAAATTCTCAGAAAAAAATGTACATATTGAGTTGTTCTGTGGAAATTTTCATGCGGGAGTAGTCAAAAGGGGGAAAAAGCAGTTGTGTTCTTCTCCTTGCTCTTAAATAAACAGAAGTTTACTCACCAGTCAGGAGGAATTTCTGCCTTTTTTTCAGCTATTTCTGACTAGCAAGAGAGCTATTTCCTATGTTTTTCTCTTTTTGAAGGAAACAAGCTAATAACATATTTCTTCACTACCTGCCATCGTTAGTAAATCTTAGTGCTACAGCTGAATAACACACAGACAAAAAAAATATGTCATGCAATTTTCACTTCTCCCAAGAGAAAAAACAGCTTGTCTGCAGCGGGAGAAAATCAAGGGCAATCAACAAGTGCACTTGTGACTGCTTAGTTTATGCAGAGTTATATCTTCGGGGTGCTTTGGAGTGAAATACTCTCCAAAAAATACAAACAGTAGGAAGTTAGTAGAGTTTTTGCTGATATCCCACCCTTTAACTATGGAGATAAGGTGGTGTTTTTTTTGGGGAATGAGAGTGGCAGGATCTGGCTTGACATAAATATCATGTAGTGAAAGGTGAGTCTAAAGGTCAGGACTTCAAGGAGGGAGAGTGGAATGTTGTAGTCCCAGAGGTAAAATTAAATATATTTAAGACATGTCTACAATAAATAATAAAAAATAGATATTTAAAAAGTAGAGAAAAAAGACAACAAGCAGGTTTCAAACCAGAAATACACCAGAATTCTTCACTGGGAGATTAATGTTTTTGAGGGGATGTGGTTCCTTTATCCAAAGCCACATAAACTGTGGAAATCGTTACCACAGGATGTGGTGAACAACTAAAAGATGCTCGGTGAGCCTGGGAAAATCTTCCCAGTGATTCAATCTGCAAATACTGGTGGAACAGATAAAGAGCAGCTGGGTTCTGCTCCGAGGGAGAGCCTGAAAGGATCCAGTCCCTTCCTGCCTGAGTGGGTGAGAGGATTTAATCACACTGAGACGCAAAAGCCTTTCCAGTGGCTCTGGACTTCCTCTGTCTCTGAGCTGTGCTCCTTGAATTTGGAACAGGCAGGGGGAGGAGCTGGGCCTCAATAGTCCACCAGCTGGCAGGGTTATTCTGGATTTGAGAGATAAAGACCAAACTGGCTGGTGAAATGGTTTCCTTTCACTTGGGGAAATCTATGAATTCCTGAATTCAAATAGCAGTCACTGCATAAGCATGAGGAGTAGGGCTCACGGTCAGCTTCTGACATCATTTTTGGGATAGGGGATGAGAAATGGGTTTTTTTCCCCCTCTTTCGTCCTTGCTTTTACCACTTCTGGACCAGGAAGGCATTGGGAAGCTCTGCTGTAAAGCACAGAGGGTGCCTCAAAACCACCTCCCTGGGGGTAAAATGAACTGCCTGAGGCACATCCTTTCCTCAGTTGCACCAAAATCTCCTTCTTTTGCCAAAGCTGGGAAGCAGAACAAGAATCAGTTCATAGATAGATGACATGAATAAGAGGACTCTGAACGAAATATTCCTCGGAATGGTTTGCTTTAGAGGACACTGTGGTGACACAGATATCTGCATCCCACCCTCCTTTACTTCTGGGCTAAAACACATGGTCAGGAAAAGGGTGGGAGAACCCCCCCCCCTCTTTCATCACACACAGCGTGTTTTTATCTGCTCCTGTCTGCAGTTTTATCAATTCCAGTCACAGCAGAAGCAGTTTGGACAGGACTCAGAAAATGGACCCTGATTTCCAATTAGTTTCTTTGTCATTCTTTGCCCTTCTCTCCCTGGTGCCGGGCACGGGCAGCTCCTGCTGCAGTCGGGAGGAAATAAGGCAGGATATTAAACTATAAATTTCTCCTTTGCTGGCTGCCTCAGTTTCTTATCTCAGCAGCAGCAGCACAAGAATCCTTCATCAAGATTACAGCCATCACAACCTTAATCCCTGCAAAGGCCTTCAGATCACGTGAGAGATGCACAAATTCTCCCTGAGCTGATGAGGGGGAAAAGAGCTGCTGCAGAGCAGACAGATGATGCTTTTAGTCTTATGTGCCGTGTCACCTGCACCAGCAGAAGTTCATCCAGCACACTGTTTCTCTTTAATTTCCTTTTTTTGGGGAAGGGGAATAGTTTTGTAGACAGATGTCACTCCATCACCAAAGGTAAAGAAACATCTGCAATAACCACAAACTGTTCTGGTGCATCCCCATTGATCGAATTTTTGTCCTTCTCCTGTCTCTCCACGCTCATTCAGCAGCAGCGAGGCACCTCTTACCATCCGCTGTCTGCACTGACTTCGCTGAAAACCCCTCCAGGCATCCCAGGAAATGTTTACAAACCATCAGTTCAACTCACCGGGAGAAGAGTCATTGAAAGGGTTCAGGGCCGCTGCCCTCCGGATCTTCTCCAGGCAGGTCTCTTGCTCCTTTTTAATGATGCAGTTGGAGTGGGTTGCTGCGACCTGAAATATGGGAGGAAACGTGATTAAAGGACAGATGGAAAATGAAAATATTGAGTTCATCAGGAAGCAGCAGTAAATTTTAAGGTCCTCTTGCAAAAAAAGCAAAGAAAAAAAAAGAAATAAAAATACCATTAGAGGCTGAGAGAAAATGACAACAAACTTTGTTTTCTTTCCCTTCCCCCCCCTTTTTCTTTTTTTTTCTTTTTCTTTTTCTTTTTCTTTTTCTTTTTCTTTTTCTTTTTCTTTTTCTTTTTCTTTTTCTTTTTCTTTTTCTTTTTCTTTTTCTTTTCTCTTCTTTTTAATTCTTGCAGCGTGTTTAAGGCCAAACTAATGAATTAAAATTCTCATAAATTATTTGTGGGTTTTATGTTGTTGTCCCTGTCAAGGTAATTTCTAATGTGTTTGCTTTATTTTATTGAATTTCTTCTTCATATGAATTTAGAACAAGGGTATCTCTGAATACAGAAATCATTTAAAGAGGAATCAGAAATCAATTTAGGTTCAGTTTGATCTTCCACCTGTTTCTTGTGAGCCTTTGCACAAGCCATTAACCTCACCCTGGACTCTAAACCAAATTAAAAGCTGTTTCTCTTAGACTTTCATCCTGTTCATTCCTTATTTTCCCTTCACTTACACCCAGAAAATAGGAGGCAAATTCTCCTGCGTAAAGACAATGCAGTGCCAATTAAATCAAGATCCATTTTTTTTTCTTGTTGTTTTTTGGGGCTTTTTTTTGTTTTCTTTCTATTTTTTATCTTGAAGGGTCTAAGCACAATACATTAAAAAAAAAGGGAGGGGGAAAGAAAGGAAAAAATAATTTATAATAATAATAATAATAATAATAATAATTTTTAAGAGGAACTTTGCAGCCAACAGAATGCAGGCAATCCCAAAGCAGCAATGAAATAAAGGTGTGACCCATTTCCAGCAACCAACACAGGATCTGTTTCCCCCTACCTGTTAATTAGGAATGAGCAAATAGGGAATGTAAGATCAGAATTCGATCTGCTGTGGTTTGTTTTGAACCCTCATCTGCACAGTTCAGCTTTTCTTCCCTCAGAGCCCAGCAGAGGGGCAGGAGTGAACACTTTGGGTCACTGATGCACCAAAGTGCCCCCACACACTCAGAGCAAACCCCAGGGCAAGTGCAATCCCTTCAGGAGCTGAAGGGGCTGGTAAAAAAGAGAGGAACATTTACACAGTCCAGGATAAGGAGGAATGGTTTTAAACTAAGAGAGGGGAGATTTAGATCAGGTGTTAGGAGGAAATGCTTCCCTGGGAGGGTGGGCAGGCCCTGGCACAGGTGGCCCAGAGAAGCTGTGGCTGCCCCTGGATCCCTGGAAGTGTCCAAGGCCAGGTTGGACAGGGTTTAGAGCAACCTGGGCTAGTGGAAGGTGTCCCTGCCCATGGCAGGGAGAGGAACAAAGCTTTAAGGTCCCTTCCAACCCAAACCCTTCAATGAGTCCCTGATGATCCCAGTTTGGTGGTGCCTGGGTGATGCTGCACAGAACCATTTGAACCCTTTTGACCCTGCAAACATTCCAAACCACCACCCCTGTGTCAAGGACAGCGAGGGTTTCCTGATGTACCTCCCCTAAAAAGCTTTTCCCACCCTTTGTGGGCACTGATAAGGCTACACAGTTTCATCTCCAAGATCCCAGTAATGAATTCCAGCTGTTTTCCCCCGTGGGACACACCAGGCACAACCATATTAGATTTGTCTTCAAAACAAACACGGTTTTGTTCTAAGGGCTCCCGAGTGCCTGGAAGAGATAGATTGTCACACATCTCCAAGATCTCCCAAGAACTTAAGGGCTTTTGCTACATCATCCCCTCAGCCTCAGCAAAGAGAGAGAAAACTGCATTGTCTGGCATTCAGGATTTAAGAATATCTTTTAAAAAGATAAAAGAGAAACAGCCAGAAAACCAGAGTTCTGCTGTTAGTGCTGGTTCACCCTCCACAACTGCCCAGGTCTGAAAGAGGTATCCAGGGGTTGTCTCAATACATAAATGTAGCAGTTTCTATACAATTCACCATGTACAGATTAGAGAAGCTGTCATTTAGTAATATTATTTTTATTGTTATTAATAGTAATAATACTACATTGTCTATGCAAGTGGGACGTGACTAAACAAAAGGAAATATTTCTCCACACACTTATTGTTGATTTGCAAAACTCTTCTCAGTTTGAAATTGTGTATGTTAAATGCCATAGGAGTTATATATATATTTATATATGCATTTATTCATGCAAAATCCATCATAGGACAGAGGTTAGTGAGACACTAGAACAGGTTGCCCAGAGAAGCTGTGGCTGCCCCATCCCTGGAAGTGTCCAAGGCCAGGTTGGACAGGGTGTGGAGCAACCTGGGATAGTGGAAGGTGTCTCTGCCCATGGCAGGGGGTGGGACTGGATGGTCTTCAAAGTCCTTTCCAACCCAAACCATCCTGGGATTCTATGAATCTATGAAAGAATGCCAAGAAACCCACCATGCCCACGTCCTGGGGGGTAATCAGAGACATCTGAAAAGGTTTAAATTCAACCTATAGTGAAAAGACAAAAGAGTGTGATTTATCCTTTCTATTCTTGGCATCTCCTTTCCCAGAGGTGTATCAAAGCCAGGACTGGATTGATTCTGAAGAAAGCCTAAGGTTAAAAGCTCAGATGTTGCTGCTCTCCTTGCAGACAGGCACATCCAGTCAGATGGCTCTGACTGAACTGGCTACATTTAGTCAATCCTATCTGAGCAAGTTCTGGCTCAGGAGGCTCAGACTGGTGGGCACAGAGGGAGCACCAGAGCCACGTGATTCACCTGTCCCTGGAGCCTTCCTGAAGCTCTCACTGCTGCCAGAATATTTTGACGTGACTTTCCATAACAAGCTGTGTGTCGTTTCTGTAGCACTTCATCAACAGATTTAAAAAGAGAATTAATATTGGGGAACAAGGAAACTGAAAGAGAAAGCAAAGAAAGGGAGGAAACATTAACCTGAGTAGCAGGAGAGAGAATAGAAGCTGCCTGTCAACTCTGCTAATGAGCAATTCCACATCCCAGAAGACACAGAAAGGTTTGGATTGTTAACAGCAAAAGGTTTCTCTGGCGAATGCAGAGGTGCTTTAATGCTTGTTTTCCTGAAAGGATGCCCGGGTTTGATGTTTCTCCATTGACCATTCACTGGGAGAGTCTTTAATCTGTCAAGTCAGTCTTCAACAAGTGAACGGCAGAGCCCAATTCAAATGGAAGTGGAAGCTTGAACTCCAGGGCCTCCTGATTCCATTTCTTTTGCCTGAAGGACATTCACAATTTCCTGTGTTCAGTACAGGCAGTCTGGTTTCAGTTTCCCAGAAGATATCAGTGATGTGAGCTGTTAAAAAGTATTTTGACACATACTAGAAAAAAATCAAGAAACCAAGTTGATGGCGCATGAAATTCATGTTTTTGAACAACTTATTGCTCTCCATGGAGTGAAAGATTTCGACTCACGTCAGTTTAGAAAAGGTGTTTATTTGTTTGGATACAAAGACAGCAAAAATAATCAATGTCTGTTCAGTTCTGAGAGAACACGAAAAGACAAAAGCAACTGGCTGGGACACTCCAGATGTCCAACAAATTCAGAGCTTTCACTTTTTCTTCCTTTGTTTTTATTAAGATGGCCACTAAAAAAAATAAACTGGCATATGCTGTGTGTAATTTGTAGTACTTAACTCTTCACTGTTCCCTTGACATCACGGTAATGTTAATAACAAGCACGTTAAATTACAGCCTATATATTACATTGACTTTAATGTGCTCTCAAGGTTGTGCTTTACTGTGATCTGTTCCATAAAGAAAGCCACTGTTAGGACATAAACCTGAGCAGAGAAGCAGGTGAACACATCTGTGTTGCTTCCAGCCCTGCCCTGGTTATGTGTGTAAACCAAATCACCAAATTTTAGAGTAAAGCTTTGATCACTTTTATGGAAGGCCCAGGAAAGGAACCTCGTGGGAGGAATTGTGCAGATCAGAGGGGTTCCCACACGCTTCCCTGCTCGTGGAAATAAACACATGTTGCCCCTCCATTCGTGCTGGAAGTTTAAATAAGCTTTCCCCCTTTCTTGTTTTGTTTCCAGTGTTTCAAACTTAGCAAAGAGGGAGAGAATATTCCTGATAGTGCAACCAAAGAGCACAGAGCCAGGCTGTGAGCTGAGACAGCAGAGACACCAGGACTGGGCCACATTGGGAAGATGCTTCCACATTAGGAAGATGCACTTGGAACAAAGGAACAAGGGATAGGAAATACAGCTGAACACCCTGGAGCTGCCCTGACACGTGCACTGTGTACACAACATTAACATCCACCTAAACCCAGAGTGAGCAGGGCAGAAGTCGAAGACATTTATCCAGAGTGTTGGCAGTGCCTTAGGGTGTCTCACTTCACCTCCAGTTGCTGCTTCTCACATGAACCTTCATGTTTACCCTTGGCAGGATGTTTTGGAGGCTGTTGGGTATCAGATATAAATGGAGACACTCGTGTTTCACCACCTGGGTCATTTGTTGAGGGATGCCAAGTGGTGCAAGCCCTCCCAGTGAAAAACCAGGATGATCTCCAGGAATGGGATGTTATCCCCGTGCCAGAGCCACAGCCACTGGCAAGCATTTGTGAAAGGAGAGGTGATGGTGTGCCTGGAAGGATGTGGGACATTTTTAAAACATCAAAGCTGGGCATTTAAAGAGCCCTCAGTGTTATCAAAATTAATAATCCTGTGAGCCGACAGCACAGAACGGTCCAGCCAAGAAACCTGAGCCACCTTTGACAACACTCAGTTACTCAAGAAATACTGATTTGCTCATTTTAACCTCAATAAGAATACTCATGACTACTATAAAACATGATTTCTCTGCACAGGTTAACTCAGAAGTGAGAAAAGTCACCAGTATTCTTGAGAAACTCCAGGAGCAGAAAACATGCTTTGAAGCCACAGTAATAATGTGATGGTGAACAGGGCATTCACTTGGCATTTTCATTTCTACAAAGACCAGATCAGATACAGCAATTCAGGCTGTTATTTCCTTTTCTGCATTTATGTGTTAAGTTT